AAGTTCAAAGGGATAATATGACCTTAATTTAGTTAGATGTGTCTCTGAAATATTTGTCATAGTCTAAGGAAGGTACTTGTGCCTTCTCCCAACAAAAGATTATTCAAAGCTCTATCCTTTCAAATTATTTCGTATTTTTTAAAATAATAAAAGAAAATTAATATCATCTCTATTCTATCTTCCAATCATTTCCACTTATAACTAGAAAAATACGATTTAGAATTATATCTTTTCTTAATTAGCAAATAATATTTTGGCTATGATTATTCTTATTTCAAAGGTATTCTTATGACTTCATTTCATGTCAATTATTTTGCCTTTGAACTAAATCCATATTCACTTAACGAATTTATATATATTTGTTTACATTGTTATTCAATACTTATATTCATCTAATATATTGACATAAATTTGTATTGGATACATTTATTCGTGTTCATAGGAAATTGGTATATATTTATTTTTATTTGCATTAATTTTTTTTAAAATTTTTACATGGGTATATATTTGTGTTGGATACATTCGTCCATATTCGTTTATAAATTGATATACATTTATTTGCATTAAATCTTTCTAATTTTACATTTGTATTGGATATATTTGTTTGTATCCATAATAAATTGGTATTTATTTATGTGCATTAATATATTTCAAATTACATAGATATACATTTGTATTGGATACATTCGTCCATATTAATTTATAAATTGATATACGTTTGTTTGCATTCATATCTTTCTGATTTTACATAGGTATACAATTGCTTGCATAACTATTTGGGAATGCGATCAACGAAATTCATTAACAAATTTAAATAATTTTTCATTATTATGTGTTCAATTGTATTCATTAAAAAATTTCAATACATTTGTTGGAGACAAAATAAACATTCATTATCAAATTTAATCAACGAAATTCAATATTTTAAAATTTTGCATAAATTTATTAATCAAAATTGAAAAAACATCAATTTCAAAAATCACGAAACGTTGCAAAGTTTGGGAGAAGAAAACGTTGTCAAATTATAATACAAATATTAAAAATTGTAAAAAGAAAGAATCTTTCATCCAACTACAAGAAAGAACGTAGAAAATCTCAACTTTTTTTAAAATAACCCTGAAAATCAATATAAAAAAATGGCATGATTTGAGCTACGTATTGTGAAGAGTTACGGTTGTGATTGATCTTTTAGAGAAGAAGATAGAAATCTTAAACTTGAAAGAGGAAGAAAAAAAAAGAGAAGAAAGAGAGAATTGAAAAATACTATTTTTTTGTTGACAAATTATAAGAAGAGAGAAAAAATGTCCATTAGGCCGACCTGACCTATTACGTGATTTGATAGGTTGGACTACAATTTTTGGAGTCCATTTAAAAAAAGAACTTTATAGTCTGGCCTGAATAAACCTGTGTATTTGTGGGGCTTGAGAAATATGGTTAGAGTCAGCTCGAGGGCCAAATAAAAATTAATTAATAATTAAAAATAAAATAGAATATTAAAAATAACAAAAGTCTAACTAAAAATTACTTTAAAGTTTGAAATATTACAAATATGTACTACATAAAATAAAAACTCCCTAAAATTTTTGGAGAATCACTACATAGACATAACCTATGGAATATTGTTAAGTTTATTGACGGAAGGGGTAAAAATAACTTTTATTTAACGGAAGGGTGGAGTCAACTAATAGAACAAAGTTGAAGGGTAATTTTGACCCTTTAGAATGTTACTATTTAATGCTAAATAAATATTTTTTTAATTTTTTTACTAAAGGTTTAAAGTGGACTATTTATTGCCAATAAAATCTACAGATTGTCATGCTATGCCATTTATATTGTATTAGAAATATGTCAAGGGTAAAATTTAAAAAAAAAAAGAAGAAGAAATTAAGCACTATTTTGATTTTGTAATTCTCAGAAGCTAAAATGTCAATTGTATTTTTCATGGAAGGAAATATTAATGACTAATATTGAATATTAATAGACATAAAATTCAAATCCTTAGATGGCATCTCATCTAGTCAATAAAATATCTAAAGCACAAACAAACAAATAAATGGGAATGGATTTAACGGCTAGTTAACCAAGTTCCCTGAGAATGGAAGCAGGGCAACAGCAACAGCAACACCATTCATGGAAACTGAATGTTCATGCCAAGGCCAAGAACTTCAATTTCAAATTCGTAGCTTCCAATTTCTTACCCAATTCCTTGTACTTCCCATTCTCTCTCAAATTCAAGTACTGCAGATTCTTCATCCATCTCAATTCTCAAACATTCATCTATCCGAATCCCAAGAAACCTAAATCTTTCAAATCAAAACTCCATCGATTCCTCCAGAGACTCCGCCGACGAAGTTCCAACAACAACAGAGTCACCAATTCCAAACCAAAGAACAAGGTAACACCGAAAAATTTAGTCTAATGATTTGCAGCAAATTAAATAGTAAGGATTTCGTTATTCGATTGAATTGATTTAATTCCATGGGTAAGCGAAGCGTCTTTATTTTCTCAATCTAGTTCTAACTAATTAGAATTTTGACTGTGATGCAGGCAACCATTTCTCAGAGTTCAGTGGTGTTAGGGAATCTGCTCCTTTTCATTCAATCAATATATCAAGGGAATAAAGATGGAATCTTCATACTTGGTTCTATTGTTATTATTTGCTTTACTTCCTTATTTAAACAAATCATGGCTAGAAAAGCTTGGATTTTGTTGGTTTTCTTAACTGGTGCCATAGTTTTTTTCTCGAATGCGATGCATCTCAGATTCAGAAGCCAGTTTGATCATCAGCACTATCTGTCCGGATTCTTTTGGAAGGCTCTAAAAAATGTTGCCTCCTCTGCCGGTTTTTATATACTATCTCAGGTGCTTACTGCTATATCTAGACTAATATGACTTTTATAGGGCCAAAAACTATTTTGAATGTGCTATATCTGATTGTTCTGTTGGAAATTTCAGTGTCAAATTGTCCTTTTTCTTAGTTTACCTTTGTTGGAAATTTCCAAGTCAAATTATTTATTTTGCTGGCAATCCTGCTTTGATTACCTTCTTGTTTTAGACGAGGACCTATTGGAGCCAACCTCTCTACTCTGCAAAGGTAGAGATTGTTGTTGTTTGTGTTCTTTATAAAGTCAAGTCGTATGGTTTTACATAAATGTTACTACTCCTATATGAGACTATATATTGTAAATCACTGAAGCATATGGTGCAAAACGTGCATAATGGAGACAAGGGGAACTGCTGCAATATGAAGATAGGTGGAATGTGTGACGGGGAACATGTGCTGCTGAACATGTTTGTCTACTAAGTGTTGCTAAAATGATTGCATAGTTAGTCATCATCAAAAAGGGGGGAAAATGTTACAACGTTGTAAAATTAATTTTGATGATTGACAAACTTCATGATGGGACCTGGTACCTCCGCTAAAGCATTTTCGCAAAGTCAAATAGCATAACTGTAAAGTGTACCACTGCAACTATAAGGGACCTGCTATTATCTATGGAGTTGTTCCTTTATTCCTTGTTGTTTGGTCTTGGTTCTTGTGCTAAACATTATAAACTTACTCTTCTTTACAAAGCTTGTATAGGTATTGCTCTTCTCTTATCTTTTAGATTTGAGTTGTTGGCTAGAGTTAGCCGTGGTGTATTGTTGGAATCTATATCAACCACAGTTAGTTGGTATAGTAAGAGAGCAATAGAGTAATCACACTAGAGTTGTTGCTAGATGAAAGGGATTAAGAATTCAATTCCTAGGTTGTGTAAGAGTTTGTAATCTAAAACCTTGCTCGTGTTTAGTGACATTATTGGTGAATACCTACGGCCGTGACTTTCTCCTTTCTTGAGCAAGGAGGTTGTCAAGGACTTGGTGTCTTGACTCGTGGTGGATACATACAAGCCAACAATGCATAATTGAGCATTGGATTGCAAAGAGTTCTTCTAGACTAAGTACACTCTCTGCTCTTTTCCACTGTCACCTCTGCCTTTTTACAAATCCTTCAGTTTAAAAACTAGCTATCTCCAACTAGTTATCAAAATTACATATTCTTTCCTAAACATGTTTCAAAAGTCTACTCTAAAGATGTGATCTTTGTCAAAGTGAAAAGGAGATCATTTGAAGCGCCAAAGAGAGCAGAAAGTTTGGTCACTACTCAGTATACACTGAATGTGAAGCAGTAATGCAAAAACAGTGAGTATATTCATTTAGCCACCCTGAAAAGAAAAAAACATGACGAACGGAGGAAGAATAACATGTTGTACTGGCTAAAATTTCTCAAGAAAATCAATTGACACGGTGCACTTTATATTGATTGAGTTCTACTACAGCTGATAGTGTGCCTGCCCTGGTGTTCAATAATTACAGATACTCATTGTCAAAACTAATGTCAAATACAAAGGTTTAGTAATACTGAAATATTTGGATGAAGTTGAAAATATGAAAATATGAAGGTAGAAAGCAAAAGGTAGGAAGGTTCCAAGTATATTTCAGGGATATGTGCAATGTTGTACTAGACATTGTAGAACCAGGGATATTCTCGATTTTTAGCGGGTACAACCATCAAACTAAATACCAAAGCAGGACTCGACAAAACGGAAAGTATCATTGTACGTCGTCCTTCCCTGAAATGAAACTTTCATGCTGGAGCAAGAACACGTGAAAGTTGATCTATTAATGATTAGTGTAGTAGACATTATAGAACCAACTAGATAACGATATACTTTTCTTTACTTGTTGATTAAGAAAACAAAAAATTGTGATACTTCAAGCCTTGGATCTAATTTTAGTTGCTGAATATGAATGAAATGGAGTGTTTCTATTATGTTATACTCCTTCTAGAATAGTCTAGTTTGACTTGAAACGGAGTTTAAAAAAAGAAAGAAACTTTTTAATCTTGTGGCTCTAAATTAAAGTTATGTCAAATGTATCAAAATGCCCTTTAATCTTGTGGTCTTAAACGAACGAGCGTTGATTTAATTCCTCTTCAATTTGTAGAAACTCTTGATGTGAGATCCAATTTGCTTCAAGGTTCAGTACCTATTCCTCCAAATTCCATATGTTACTTCTTCATATCTAATAATAATCTTAGTGAAGAAATTCCTCCATCTATTTGCAATTTGACAACACTGGTAATGCTTGATTTGAAAAGAAACAACTTGAAGGGATCAATTCCGCAATGTTTGGGTAATATTAGCAGCCTTGAAGTTTTGGATATGCATCACAACAATCTTTCTGGGACTCTCCCAACTATTTTTACGATTGTTCATTGAGAAACTTCAACTTGCATGGCAATAAATTAGAGGGGAAAATTCCTCGAAGTTTGGCAACTGCAAAGACTTCAAGTTTTTGATAGAGATAATCATCTCATTGACACATTCCCGACATGGTTGGGAACTCCTCCAAAGCTTCAAGTTTTAAGCTTGAGATCGAATAAGTTGCATGGACACATTAGAATGTTAAGAAGTGAAAACATGTTTCCTCAGCTACGGATCATCGATCTCTCTTACAATGTCGTTGCGGGAAACTTACCTACGAGTATGTTTAATTAATGTTTGAAAGCCACGAGGATAATTGATCAAACAATGAAGGCACCTATATATCTTGGAGAAAATTCATATTACCAAGATTCAATTACAGTTGCAACCAAGGGATTCGAGCTTGAACTTGTCCGAATTTTGACTGTTTACACCCTATTGATATTTCAAGTAACTACTTTGAAGGAGGTATTCCAAGCATCACGGGAGATCTTATTGCACTCCGAGTGCTGAATTTCTCTCATAATAGATTGCAAGGTCAAATACCATTGTCACTTGGATTATCTATACTCGAATCATTGGACCTTTCATTTAGACAATTTTCAAGAATGATCTCTTACCTTTCTTGTATTCTTAAATCTCTCCCACAATCATCTGCAAGGATGCATTCCTCAAGGATCTCAATTTGCTACATTTGAGAACAATTCATATGAAGGCAATGATGGTTTACGTGGATTTCATGTTTCAAAGGGTTGTGGTAGAGATAGGGTAGCAACGACAAATCATACTGTAACTGGACTAGACGATGAAGAAAGCAATCTTGGATTTCTGAGTGATTTTTGAAAGCCGCTCTTATGGGCTATGGAAGTGGACGATGCATTGGATTATCCATAATACATTTCATGATCTCAACTGGAAATCTGAAATGGCTTGCAAGAATCATTAAAAATTTGGAACAAAAGATCATTATGTGAAGGAGAAGGAGGGAGCGAAGTCTAAGGAATTATAGAAGAAGGAATAACCGTGTTTAGACAAGCTACTAACGGGGAAAGATTTCATTTCAGTGTTTCAGCTATGCAAGGTAAGCTAGCTCTACGCTAATCTTTTTAGTTTATTTTATTTACTAATATATTAGTCTCCATAGGTTTTTGTTATAAGTTATAACAATAGCTAATGGATGATCTATACGAAACATATTTTATAACTGTTTCACTCACTATCTTATTTTCCAGTTTTTCAGATGCCAAGAATAAGAAGACATTGGTGTAATGGATTTGGTTCTTCATATGTTCACCTTCAATCTTTACTTTATGTTTGTCATTTGTGTAGATCTTTTTTTTTTTTTTTTTTGCTTCATGACTTGAGTGATGTTAGTAATAATCTAGCTTTTTTATTTGAGTTTGTAAAGATATGATATTGGCCTAACTGAACACAAAATTTATCTGATGAGGATACAATTGTTCAAGTTCATTTAAGCATATCGAAAGTCCATATAGAATTTTGGTACTGTAAACTGTAAAGATATGACATAGTTGAAAACTGTGATTCTTCGCTCGATCAAAATTATTGCCATTACACTTTGGCTTTAACATTTGCCGAGCACATCTAAGTGAAAAATAGAAAATAAGTGTGACTCAATCCCATAAGAAAATAATTGTCTAACTCCTCTTTTATTCAGGACCAACCAACCTATGTGATAATTCAGTAATAAAAAAGTATAACTTATATAAATCTCATAGTGTAAAAAGTAAATTACATTCCATTCCTATTTTTTCTAATTACAATAATCCCTTAAAATTTGTAACTTTCAGATACACAAGTCATCATTCAAATACATTAATTCTAATACAAGAAAAAAAAATTCATTGCGCTAAAAAAGAAACAAAATCTTAATTCCATAAATTACGCTTTTATTTGCTTGATCGTCGTTATCTTTGAGCAGATTTAATAGCCTGTTGATTTCTTTTTCCGTTAATAAATTTTCTTCTGCAATTTTATTCATGCAACTCATCAAATGAAGCTCCTTTTCCTCACAGTCAACCTTTCATTTCTCTAGTCCATCTTTGATTTGTTCGATGAAATTAGTAAGAACATTTCTCTAGTCCATCTTTAATTTGTTAGATGAAATTAGTAAGAACATCAAATTTCTCTTTTGCTTCAGGAAAATTCTAATAGAATGAATAAATTTCAAATTTCAAATTGATTCCCCCGTTAAACGAAGAAACCTTTCATATTTGATTCAAAAAAAATTGTGGAAATTTTGGGTAAGTAAGGTGAGTTATGAAGGATAAAAAAGTGATGGAATTGTTGTTGGACAAACGATATCCTTTTGAATCTCGAAGATCCTTTCAATTTTGATTCAAAATTTAAGATTCAAGATTCTTTCTTCTCCTAGTTCAGCAAAGATCGTTTCAATTTTGATGCAGAATTATTGAAAAATTTTATATTCAAAATTTTTCTCCTAGTTTGTTGAAGATCCTTTCAATTTTTATTCAAATTGTCAAAAAACTTGAGAAATACATCATGAATATCTTTACTACTTAGCATTTACTATCTATGTATCTTGTTTAAATTCATAGGTATTGTATTTATACTAGATACATTTAATAAATAATTGTTGCCAATAAGATGTTAGATTTAAGATGATACATTATTGTGCGGTAGTTGCCATGTAATTGATACATTCAGTATATATTCGAATTTACGTATTATATCTAAAAAAAATAGTGCATGATACATTGCTATTTATGTATCGTGTTTATATTGATAACTATTGTATTTATGCTAGATACAGTAAATAAATAATTGTTGCCCATAAGATGTTAGATTTGAGGTCTATACATTACCGTGTAGTTGCTATGAATTGATACATTCAATATAAATTAGAATTTATGTATCATATCTAAAAAATTAGCGCATGATACATTAATATTATGCATCGTATGTAAGTTGATATGCATTGCATTGTTCGCTTTAAAAGATACGCATAACTTACATAATGTATCATTTTGTAGTTGATAATAATATATTTGATACAATAAAGTTGTGAAAGAGGGATGTGTGTAAATTGAAATAAAGTGTATCTATAAATGTACTATAATAAATACGAATTAAGTTATCAATTAGATAAATGAACAAACACAACTATTAAAGAAATTTGATTTTGAAAAATATCAGAAAAAAAGGAAAATATTAGAACATATGAAATTTTGGTAAAATTGAAACCAATATTATTATGAGACAACGAGAAGATTAAATTATAATACAAGAATCCTAATCAGTTTCAATGAATGAGTAGTTGTTAGAGTCCTTAACCTACTCAAATTATGAAAAATGTATAAATATTATATTAATTATTACCAGATAATAAACTAATACTATTAATTTTTTTTTCTAATCACATTTTAGTGTTGAAAATTTGAATTTCACTTATTTTCTTTTATCATAAATTTTGGAGTATTTTAAAAATATGTAAAAGGCTTATAATTATCCTTTTAAAACTTTTTTGTCTATAAATATTCTAAGCCTACAGAAAAGAGACTAATTTTCAATTTCAAACGTAAATTAGAAAAAAACTATCAAGATTTTTTGACTAAAAATTAGGAGAGATTTGTGAAGTAAAACAAGGAAAGGATAAATGTTTCAAATAGCATATTTTTTTGTTGTGGGATACATAACACAAAGTTTATGTATCACACATATGATTTGTACAGATACATATCCTTCTATGTAGAATATACATAACCACACCTAGATACGTGATAAATGATACATTTGGTAAACGTTTTGTATCAAGTATCAAAACTAATTAGGGTTATGTGTCAAAACTAAAATTTAACCATGATACACTAATTGTAATATATCGAAGTGTTGAAAAATTATTATACATTAATTAAGAAACAAAATTAGCTGAATATATTAAAATTCTAGTTAATGTAAGATAATTGTAGAGAAATTTATGATTTGAAAGGGAAGAAAAAAATCGTAGAATTAATTATATACCCGGTAATTTTTTTAAAATTTATAATTTTTATAAATTGAGTTATTACTACGATAACATTATTATGAATAATAAAAATAATTTATTACACATATAATTGTAAAACTAGTGTCTTGTTTTTGACGCAAATGGCTTAGCTGCATTCACCTTGCATTCCTAAAAAAATGGTATGACTAACAAGTTAATAGATGCAACTAATAAAA